AGGTTTCACAAATCTTTTAAAAAACGTTCTCCTATGTCTTGGTCTATTTATCTAGTCGTGAATCTTTTCTTCTACAAAAAAATAACTAGCTATTAAAGTTTGGTTATCTGATCCTCTTTCAAGAGCTCGTTTCTTTTGTTGCGACCTTTGATATTTCTCCTGCCGACATTTGGATTTATTTTTGTTATATTCATTGGGCTGGAAACTTGGTGGAATATTTTCGAGATTTTCCGGAATATTAGAGGAAACCTTTGGGAGGTTGAGGAGATCTTTGGCAACGGTTGTTACCATTTCAGTATTTTCAGTAGAGGTTTCCGAGGAGATTTGCAAGTAGGTTTCTTGACAATCCATTAGGCAAACCTTTTCTGTGGTTTCTAGGAGCTCAAACTCGTTCTGACTGTTACTATTTTGACACGACGAGACAACATCATTATTATCTTGTGAGGAAACTTGGTTGGAGTCGTGTGATAACGGCATATTGTCTGTAGTGTCTCGTATTATTATTTCTTTCTGGTCATTCCGTGGTTTAATCTGATACGTTAAAGTGATATCTTCGAGGACATCTTTGATTTGTTCGTTTTGTTCTTGAGAATATTGCGAGGGCCTCGGCAAGGGGTCTTGATCGAGACTTTGAGAATAATAAGGAGATCGAGACTCGAATCGGGACGTAGTGATAGTGGAACCATCGGTTGATTCGAATCGAATTGTTTCTTTTTCTTGTGCAGCTAGATTTGAAACAGTTGGAGGAATAACTTATATGTCAAGGATATTAACTTTCGGACGAGCATGCGTATTCGCTTTCAAGGAACAGGTAGACATTGAAGTACACCCAAAAAAATATTTCGTTGTGATAAAAATATATATGTTTAATTTAACAAAGCGGATTGATTAGTATAGACACAGCCATACATATTGATAATTTAACATATCAGATATTGTTGCTTTTGTTTTGTGATTTTAGCACTAATTTACCATCATCATTACTTTTAAAATATTGTTACAATAATTAATTGGTAATGACGTACCAACAATGTGATGTGTTTCATGTGACATTTTTATTTGATAGTGATAAATAAATGATATTGTAGTTTGAACTAAACAGTATTGTTAGTTTGCCAAACAATTTGATTAAGGTTACGATAAGTGATTGCTATCTTTAAACAACTTGGATCGTTACTCTTACTATATAGTCAAAATGTATGAATATACTTTATTGCTATTGTAACAACTTTCATTATTTAAACTGTCTATATAGCGTTTTTAAGGTAAATATAATCTATAGTAACGACATTGACGTATGTACTATATGGACTTGTTACGGATACTCTTTTTTTTAGTATAGTTAAATATGCATCATATTGTCAAAAAGCCTGAATATTTTCACCATGCACAAAAAAATAACATTAAAAATAATTAAGAGATATTGCCTAGCTTGAAACCTCAACCCTGCATGATTTTCTGTTGAAAAAAACTTTTCTGGATGACCTGAGAATAGAACCAAACTTTTAATCCCTAAGACAGTACCCAGAGAGGTCAAGAGATTTAGAATAATATAAAAACAATGCTAATTTTCAGCGACTTTTCGTATAATAATTGGGTATATTTTCGATAGATGATAATTGGAGTAAATAAAAAATGTTTAAATAGAAATAACATCATATTTTATTAAACAAAAATAGAAAACAATATTCTCATGTCTAAAAATGGCACGTATAAAAAATAAATTAAATAGGTATTTCTAATATATATACTTAACTAAAGAGATGTTTTATCAAAACAAAATCATTTATATACAATGGAAAATATGATGAAATTCCAAAATAATGGCATTTAATGGAAAGGTCAAAAAATTATGAGTGTAGGATTTTTGTGATTTTATTTGAATAATATAGGTAACTATACATATTTCATTGTCTCTAATTTCTTTCTTTTCGGACTAAGATTGAATAAACAAGGAACTGCTTATTGAAATTATTCAATATTACATAAATCCTACATAATAATTTCGTATTTTAATAAACGTTATTAAAAAATAAAAAACAAAATTATCATTTCTAAATATAGACATGGCGCGCATGTCTTAATCTAACATAAAAAATCATTCAAATATTTATCATTACAACTAAAGTGATATTTTCAAAACAAAACTAATTATTCTACAAAACAATAATCATTTACCGCAATAAATATCAATGTGGTATTTTTATTTCTTACTTTTCGGATTGAGATTGAATAAACAAGGAACTGAACATTGAAATTCTTTAATATTACATAAATCCTACATAATAATTTCATAGTCAAGTTCAATCTGAAAATTAAAAGGAATGACTATTAAAAAATATATAAGCAAACAAAAAAATATTCACCAATGTGTATCCCAAAGGCTGTTTCAATGTCATAAACTGGTCGAAATATGGCTGAATTGCATTTATATTATTTAAAAGTGATTTTCGGTGTTCAAATGTTTCTCTCCATTTTTCTACCACATCTGTCCATGGATCTATACAATTCTGTAGCCAAGAAATATTTTCTAGCTGTTCCTCGTCATTGCAGCAAGTATTTTCTTTCTCATTGGCGCATTCGGCAGCTTTCTTCTTTCTGCTGGATAGGAGACCAGGAGCGCGTAAAGTTCTTCGTCTGTTATGATATCTATCAAATAATTTCCCTCTGGCGCAACGCCTATATTTTCCAGCTTCGTCCGTCCTATATGGCGTATAATAAGTACTTATATTTTCGGTTGGAAATAATTGTTTTATTAATCTTGCCAGTTGAATAAATCTTCCAGTGGTAATCCTACAAAACAAGATTTAACGTACCTTGACTATAATTATTTTTTTTTAGTTGAATTCAACTTACACCGATTCGTCAGATTTTAATTCATTCCTAATAATGATGTCGGTCAATTTATTCCTCAATGCAGGAGTTAAATTTTCCTTGACCTGTAAAATCTCCCTTCCCTCAGATGAGCCCTGCAAGAATGCCTTCAAATCCTAAAACATGGAAAATATTAATAGGTATACCTACCCTGATATGCTACTTTGTAGAAGTCTGCATTGGTTATTAGGAAACAACAAAAATCAACAAGTTGTAGGAAAACTCACTACTTACAAAGTTGTATGATGTTGATTCTGTATCATTGCAAAGTTCTTCACAGTTTTTCACAGCAAATGCGTTTTGGCGTTTATAAGGAACTGGAATAATTTCTAGAAAAAATATGTTTTTATATAATTGATGGCTGCATACCTACTTAATTTTCAAGTTATGTATAGTAAAATAACATATAAATACCTAGTGGTGTATCCTCTATAAAATCTTTAAGAAGATTTAAATTTAAATTTTCTGACAAATCGGAGGCTGAAGATGATGTACTTGGTGAATCATCAAATACCACATTATCATCATGATACAATGTTGCTGAGCTTATTGAATCAACTGTTGGTATCGTGCTTGGTACCGTAATAAGTATAGGAGGAATAGGAGGATTGAATTCCAGCACAAAATTTTTATGCTTTGCTGCAAATTTTATTCTATCCCCTAATTTTGGTATTATTTCTTTTATGTTTGCATCAGTTAGCAAACAAAATGCCTCATAATCAATAGAATTATCTAAAACAATAAACGAACTTTGACTATCCATCATCATACAATAAAACTAAAATCAAACAAAAATAATTAGATAGAGGTAGGTAATATTATTTCTTACCAATAAAAATTTCATTGAGGTGTTCCAAATTCCATTTCTGGAGTATGGTTTTTAACTTGATCCTCCATTTTGTATAGGTGATGGGTATAATGTGAAAGAAAGTCGGGTTCTAAAAACATAAACCCAAATATAATAAGGTTCCTCGTGAAAATATTTGAATATTGAATAAAACGGATAGATACCCAATTTTTTTTTTTCTCGGAACAATGGGTTCTTTCACTTTTTTTTGGAAATTGGTATAATTGGATTAAGCTGCAAAAAATAGAATTCTCTACACTCTTTACTCACTTGGAGACCTTTTTGAGAAAATAAATAAAACATTCATAGGCCTTTACAAAAATGCAACCGGGGAGGACATTGAAAATGCCGAAGCAGAGATCGCGACTGTTCGGATCAGTTCGAACTCTTCGGAGACCTTTTCAGCCGTTCGGAGCAGTTCGAAGCAGTTAGAGCAGTCCGCACTGTTCGGAGCAGTTTGAACTGTTCGGAGCAGTTGGAGCCGTTTGGACTGTTTGGAGCAGTTAGACAGGTCGAACTGTTCGGAGCAGTTGGAGCAGTACGAGCTGCTCAGAGTAGTTGGAGCAGTTCGAACTGTTCGGAGCAGTTCGAACTGTTCGGAGCAGTTCGAACTGTTCGAAGCAGTTCGCACTTTTCGGAGCAGTTCGAACTGTTTGGAGCAGTCCAAACTGTTCGAAGCAGTCCAAACTGTTCGGAGCAGTCGGAACTGAGCGGAGCAGTACGAGCTGCTCGGAACAGTTTTGAGCAGTCCAAACTTTTCGGAACAGTTAGAACATTGAACAGTCCAAACTTTTTGGAGCAGTTAGAATAGTTCGAACTGATCGGAGCAGTTGGAGCAGTCCGAACTGTTCGGCGCAGTGGGGGCAGCTTAAAAAGTTCGGAGCAACTGCTCCAACTGAGGCACTTGGAGCAGTTCGAACTATTCGGAGCATTCCGAACAGTTCGGAGCAGTCCGAACCAGTTCGAACTGCTCGGAGCAGTTGGGCAGCTCCAACTGTTCGGAACAGTTGGAGCAGTTTGAACAGTTCGGAGCAGTTCGAACTTTTTGTTTTCATGGCATCCATACCATTTAAAAAAAAACATCCGGCAACACCGCTCAACCGTTCTTATCCGTCGGCCCCCAGTGGTTCCACATGCGAAAAAGTGCCGCATCGGGTTTTAAAAGCTAGATTCTTCTTGTAAGGAAGTATTACTGAGTATGACTGTATTAAATTTAAACGTAAGAATGTAAGGAATAAGAAAACGTCCATAAATTAAATTTTGGAGATAATTTTATTATTTATAAAAAAATATCTTCAAACTCATCTGAATCATTTACATCATCCGCAATGCTATCGATTTCTTCCGATTCCTCATCCGAACTGGAGTCATATGCCTGTGCCATTATGTCATTATCGATGCAGTCCTCAATATTTAGTATGTCAATGGGCAAATGTTCTTTTTCTGTTTTCTTCGAAAGCTTTGATTTTTGAAATGTTTGATAAATGTGAAAAAATAGAGGATCTGAAGTCAACATTAATCTATTAAAAACATCTTGCAAATTAGCCTTACGAGATATTTTCCGTGAAAAATCTGTCCTAAATTTTTTGAAGTCCTTATTTCGGGCTTCCTGAGGCTCTTCACTAAGGGCACCTACAACGTAAAATAATAAAAATTACAGAATTGAAATTTTGACCGTATTTTTAAATTCTTCCTAAAAATACAACCGAAAATATAAAGAAAATGGAAGGAAACTTTTCCAGGTATTCGTGTCCATGGTAGAGAATTTTATGTACTGTTGGGGAAAACTTAAATTGTGGATATATGTTGAGGAAAAGCTCCGCAGTTTCAAAGGCATATTTTTTGTAGGCTTCTGGTGAAATTGTCCTATTGCATGAAATAGCAGCGAGAATATTTGCAAATCTTTTTGTGACAAATAATTCAATATCTATAATTTCAGATGTCAATTCCGAATTTTGAAAAAATCTTCGCGCTGTGTTTCCATCATGCGAAATGCCAAATCCAGGTTTTGGTTTGCCAATAATTAAACCAGTTTTTTCTTTGAAACTTTTTTGAACTTTTTTCTTTTTTATTTCCTGCTCATTTTTTGTTTCAGGCAGCCTAAATATGAAATTTATAATATGTTACAATAATTACTCTCGAATGAAGCAATAGGTACTTACTTATAACTACATCTTAGTAAAAACTCCGTACAGTTAATTTTGGCATGAAGTGGAGATATCCCAAATTTGAATACATCCTTAGTAGTATTTTTCTTTGGTATATGGTTTAAAGTTTTTGGACCAGCAAGACAAACAGGACATCTCTAAAAGTAAAAGAGCATAAAGCCTAAAAGAGAGATGAAGGCCTTAAATCCTTACCGAAGTCGCATTATTTTCGCTTATTGCATTTATTATTTTTCCATCCACCATAGTAAAAAGGAATTCGTGTTGTACAGTAACTTCAACAGAATTGTTTAGTCTAATTGTAGTGTTTGCTAATTCATCAATTTCTTTCATTACTCTTGAATACTCTTTTTGAGTGGAAGCAGTGTCTTCCTTGCAAAAAGCTATTCTAATTGGCCTGCACAAACTGTAAATAAAACATGTTTAAATTATTGAAAACCTTTAATTGTATTTTCTGGTTAATGGAAATTCTAAGATATCATAAACAAATGCAAATTAATTTACCTGGAAGAACTTGGACTTTCATTTTTCCAGATAACTGAGTCTCCAGTTTTCAATAAAAGAGGTACCAAATTCGTGCAAAATACAGTTGAATCTGTACTATTTGAATCAATAAATCTTTGTTTAAACTCTGGATGACCACTGCTACCATTCATATCCCATTTGTATATTGAAACGATATCACATGGGTGGTTTAAATCAGAGATATGTACCAAAATTTGTTCGACAGTTATAGACTATGAGATAGGGGCTGTTTAGTGGAGTCATTTTTTTTTTCTGGCATTTTGCGGGCTGAATGTGGCTACTAAGCTGATGAGAATATGAGGGATTTTAATGCCGGCCTCCCGTTCGAAAATTTGCAGAAGAAAAAAATTGATTTACATGATGAATTTTTTTTTAATGATCTCAAATTTTCTAGCTTTTAAATAAAATATTGACAATGATAAATAATTCACCCATGAAAAATATCAGATGCTTTTCAATAGCTGAAAAAATGGGGATGGGTGTCAACTTCCAAGAGAAAAGAAAAGAACCTTCCGGGTTTACTTTTTGTCTGGCAATCGAGAGAATGAAAGGTTTTGTTGTGAAAATAACGCTGAAAAATCGCCAGACGGTAATCACAGTTCGAAATCGAGTTTTCCGGCAAAACATTCTGTGGACATTTTGAACAGGAGGCAGGAATTAAAACCACTTATATTCTCATCAACTAACTAGTCACATTCATCCCTCAAAATGCCAGACAAAAAAAAATGACTCCACTAAACAGGCCCTATCTCAGGGTCTATTATGTCTACGAGATTTTGGCGTGATACCTTCGCTTCAATTTCTGTAAAATTGTCTGGATTTTCAATGGGGTAGCTCATTTTTTTGTATTTCATTATCTCTTGATATGAAGGGTAGATGTTGGTATCTAAAATGAAAACGCACATAAATTTGTTGTTTAATTTATTTATTAAAAAAATATTGGTACCTTTCCAAATTGTGGCAGCCCGCATATTTTGATACTGCGCTTTTGTTTGTTTTCCATTTATAATAAACAAAGCTATTGCTTCATTAGGGGAAAAAGGTTGGGGTAACTTTTGACTAGGAACTGAAAGTACTTTCTCTGGAGATTTCACACCAATAGTAACAGCTTTTGCCAAATCAGGTTTTTGTTCTTTTCTGAGAACAGATATCGCTGCGTAAGTCAGAGCTTCTGAACAATAATTATCTCTTATATCTAAAATTTGTTTTAAGTTATCCTAAAAATATGTTTGCATAACTAGACTTACCTTTAGTATTTCGTTCTTGCTGAGATGCAGATAAATCTGAAAAACATTTTCTTTTTGAAGGGCCAGGTGCACATGGCTCAGGAACATCAAACAATTCATGAGTGTCAGTAAAAAGTTTTTCTGCCAACCAGGATGCATTTTTTTCTGTAAATTTTGCCCAAGAAATAACTTGAATCTCTCCATTTTTGTGTCCATTTTTTTATAAAATTTTTAATTGTATGTTTTAATATATCTTGCCGGTGTGTTAAATTAAAATTAATGCCGGATTCTTCCAAGCATGCTGATATATCATCGATAATCTCGACTTCAGATTTGCCGTTATATCCATGCTTTAAAAAAATATGGCATACCTCCATACGTGAACTCGTACCTAAAATTATGATAAACCTATAACATTTCGGACTTTTATGAAGATATTTGAAACCTTTATGTAAAGTTAACAACTAATAGAGAATAAAATAAATTACAAAAGTTATCTTTTTGAAAAAAGATAATAGGTTCCTTGCATCAAATTTTTTTATTGCTGATTTCGATAGTCCATGAAAAATAAGTCAACACGTATTTTTTCTTTTGCTTCTTAGTCAAAAATTGACGGAGATAGAACACTATGAAATCTGCCTATGACGTCACTTATCTAATAAATAAGTGACGTTGCACATGCTCAGTATATCTATATATACAAAACTTAATATTTGAATAACTTCCAGTATAATCATATTTGGGCGAAATAAAAAAAAAGTAACGATTTTTTTTCGATTTCCCACAGTTTGCAATAAACAATAATCAATTTAATTTTCCATGCAAGTACCCTATTATTAGTAAAAAATTATTAACTTTAACGTAAAAAATTAAATATTCGGCGGGTCATCGCGGGTCCAAATGTCATTGTAAATTGTACCTAAAGTGTCCCAAAAAATTCACACAAAAAAATTATTGCGTGCTTCGGCGTTCCTCTTAAGATATTTTAATTTAAACAATATTTGGCTTTAAAAATATAAAGTACTTACGTGATATTTTTTTTTCCATGATTATATATTTTTTGTCAACTATACTCAACTATTTAAATAGCTACCAAAACCACACAATCACTGGGCACTACGAACTTCGCAAAATAAAAATCGAGTAAAATCAAAAAAGACGCTCACCTTATCAACAAAAACAGATAAACATTATAAAAAACGATAACAATAAATAGCTCATACGGGGTCCTTTCAAAAAATATTTCTTAAACTGAGGTAATAGCAATATAATTTTTGAGGCGTATGCGGCACTTTTTCGCATTTGGAACCACTGTGCGGCGGTTCGCGTCTTTGTGACGTATGGGACAAATGCAACATAAGAATTTCGAATTTCGTACCCCAAACTACGTGGTCGTGCGAAAATAAAAACATTTTCAATGTTAAAAGAGCATTGAAAATTTGTAGTTTGAATTCTAAAATGTTATCAAAATACCAAGAAAAATACAACTCGAGTTGACGGCAACACAGCGGTCAGCCTGTAAAAAACTTTTTCTACTTGCGTGCGCAAAGTAATCACTTTGCACACTCATTTGCGTGCGCAAAGTTGAACTTTGCGCACGGAAACTCTTTGCGCACTCATTTTTGTTACGCATAACTACCATAGTTATACTTGATTTTTCAATGTTTTGATGGTTTCTGAATAAACTCAAATGAAGGGTTTTAGTTGAAATTGTGGAATTTTTGATATTTAAGAGACTCTCATGAAAATATTCTAGCTGGTATTCTAGAAATTCCAGAAAATGTTAGAAGATTTTTGAGGATTTAATTTAAAAGACATTCTGAGGAATTCTAATAGATTTTAAACGATTTTTGAAGTTTTTGACTTGATTGATTTTTGTAATATTTTAACAATTTAAAGTCTACTTTTTTAAGATACTCGTAGAAAAAATATTGTTCCTAACACTTGCGCAAAGTGTCTTTCCCGCACTCAAAGCTTATCCGAACTCCGCTTCGCGTCGTTCGTCTAACTGCTTTTTCGTGCGGGAAAGTATCACTTTGCGCACTTGTTAGGAAAATAACTATTACCTACGAGCGTGCGGTAAAGCGCACTTTACCGCACGTATTTGCAAATGGAAAGTATCACTTTACCGCACACTATGCGGTAAAGTAACTTTACCGCATAGTGTGCGGTAAAGTTAACTTTACAGCATAGTATGCGGTAAAGTGGACTACAAAGTGTGCGGTAAAGTGCACTTTACCGCATAGTGTGCGGTAAAGTAAAATTTGATATTTTTAATCAGAAATCCTCTCTTTTTCAGAAAATTGATTTTTGATCATTTCTTTATCTAATCTAATTTCATTAATTAATCTGATTCAATAATTAATTTTATCAATGCCTTTTTTTAGAGATGTTGATGCTCATAGGTAAAATTTTGTACCTAACACATGCGGAAAGTGCCTTTACCGCCCTTAACGGCTTGACCGAACTCCGCTCCGCGTCGTTCGGTCAACTGCCGTTGCGTGCGGTAAACTATCACTTTCCGCATTTGTTAGGTAAATAACTATTACATATAAACCTACCTAGGTATTTAACCTTGAAGATTTTTTTTTGTGGAAAATATACCTAAAAAGATTTAGGATTTTATGCTTAAATTACGTCGTATTTTAGTGAAAGAGCCCATTTATAACTATTTTCTATTTTGCTTTTATTCTCCATCAATTCTTTAATCTCTTATTGAGTCAGTGAAGCAGGTACATGTATTCATAAAAAAAAGCGTACACGAATTAGAATGAGAGGATACCTTCTTAACCGTGTTATAATAATCATATGACAAAACTTACCTCTCATTCTAATGCTTGTACGCTTTTTTTATGAATACAACTGTATATTAAAAATTAAATAACAATAATAAAAAAAAGTTGGTTGATTTCAGCTTATCTTGATAAATATCGATTGACAAAATGGCGTTTAGAGTGTAGAGAAGCAAGGAACCTAGGAATATCTAATTAATATTGTTTGCTAGTTTATTTGGTTTATAAATAATAAATATTAGAAACATTTCCTACCTTATTATGTTTGTAGCTCTTTTTAAAACAGACCACAGCACAGCAGACACAATGAGTTAATATTATCACATAGATTTCACCCTTTCGCCTTTTTCAATGGCTTGCCGTTTGCCGTTACAAATTGTGGCGTGGCGTCCCGGCCGCATCTAAACATTCCGGTATAGGATTCGGCACCTAGGCATATTTCATTGGTCCGTTTGAATTCGGACCGCCAATTAATGCGGAGTGCCGAAATCCGTACTTGAATGTTGAATGGTGCTGAGCCTCAGGTCGGAATGGTATAGTCAAAATGTTAAACAGTGCCCAGCTGCAGGTTGGAATGTTACTCCTTTAGCGCGGTACAAAATCAACAAACAAACTTTATTTGCTTTTTGTTACACATTTATTTTATTTCAACGATATATATTTCAAAAAATTTGGACAATAATTTGCAGTGGCGGACCCAGGGGTGGGGGGGGGGGATTACAAAAACCTGAAACCTGGCAAATTAGAATAAAAAATTTTGAAAATAAATACCCTGATATGTTTATCTTTTTTTTTTTGGTATCTGTGGTGCTTAGTTTAATTAAAATATCATTTGAAGCCAGGCAACAGCAGTTTTTGGATTTTCCTTCCTTCCTTCTTATTATTTCCTTGATCCACTTTTTTATAAGCACTATGATGGGATACCAAACATATCTAAAAAATTTATTTTCCAAAGTCTTTTCGCATCCAAGAAGATTCTACGTCATTGAATTGACATTGAACACAAACCTGCATTTGAATCTGTTATAATTATTTTTCGCTGACTTCACATTCCAATTCGTGCATATCACTATACTCTTCTATCCATTGCTTTATATCGTTTTCCTCCAAAATGTTGCTCGGTAAATTTGCTCACCACATTGAAAGTGTTTAAATGATCCAGGCAAACTCATCTTGCATGTTTAAGCACAAGAACACATGAAGCAACGGCGAAATAAACCGTATCCGCCGCAAAATTGTAGCTAAGAGGAACACGAAGGAGGTGGACAGCTGATTTAATATAAAAACCGCGCCAAACGCATGGCAACATTCGGACCTGATACTCAGCACTGTTTAACATTTTGACCTTAGATTCGGCACTCCACATAGTATTATATAATTCTGACCTGAGGCTCAGCACCGTTCAACATTCAAGTACCGATTTCGGCACTCCGCATCAATTGGCGGTCCGAATTCAAACGGACCAATGAAATATGCCTAGGTGCCGAATCCTATACCGGAATGTTTAGATGCGTCCCGGCCGGCTTCCTCACGCAGTACCACCAAAAATCGAATCGCGCAAAATCGAACTTTACCAAACGTCGGGCTATCTTTACTATGCCCATTGTTAGAATTACTATATATACAGTAAGATCGCAAATCTAAAGATTCATTTTTGTTATCCAAACAATATATTTATATTTAATATAGCGATCACGTACATATATATTGTTACATCTCTTATTCTGTTACCCAAACTATGAGCTTTGTAATAAGATATTCTTGCAATTTATTATTGTTATTTTTAAAAGAATATATTGTTAGATTAATAACTATATTTGGATACTTTCGTTTACGATAGATCTTTTCAAATATTCGTGATAGTAGCCATGAAAGCTGTTAACATAGCAATATTTATTCAAACAATCCAATATTGTAAGGATTTAACTATTCAATTTTTACAGTGTAGGTTCGAGGCTCGGTTCTCAGTCGGGTTCTGAGCTTGGTTCTGAGATACTGTCGGAGTTGAAGGTTTGTTACGTATGACGTCATAAGGTTTTGTCGGACTTTTTGTTCTGTAGAGGTTGAGGTAGAAGACTTAGCTACATTGATATCTCGATTGATATGTTTCTGAGGATGTACGTAAAAGCTTGAACAATTCCACTGCTTCTTTGTTTTGTTATTTTTGCTATTTTAACGATTTTGTATTTTGCCTTGCAAAAGCATGTGGCAATTTCTTGAAGGGTGATAGTTGTTCTGTAAGAAGATCTCTAACGATGAATTTAAGCCGTTTTTCTTGTATAATTTGTTTTTCCTGCATCGTAACCTCACTTTTACCACACGATATACAGCAATCGACTTTATTTTCACTGTTTATGACTTTAGCTTGTTTTG